ATTCTAAACACAGTCCATAAATTATTTTTCATAATTATACCAATCAATTAAATACCGTACATTCCGAAAATTGTATGGAACCATTTCGTCGATAACTTTCTTACATCATGCTTTTTAGCAGATCAATTACAACAGAGAAAAAATAATAACAATATATAGGTATTATTTATTATCGGTACATGCTCATCACGTTATTTTTTACGGGTTGCGGTTCAATAAAAATTGGCGTTGCTGGTGTTCGGTGGCGCGGTGAAAGGGTTTTTATGACGCCCAGGCATCATGGTGAAAATTTTATGGATGGGTGGGATTGTGTGGTTGGATTTAGATGTGTAAAGATTTTGGACGAATACACACTTAGTCAATTTCGATATTTAAACACATCATCAACGCGAAAAACGAATGCAGCGGAATACACGATAGTCGATAAAAATATAACACACGATAATTAGATCGAAAATTCTATACTGTTTAAATTAATTTGAGTTGATTTCAACATAGAAGAAAGAAAAGCCTTTTAGATTTTGATAATCTGAAATTCGAGTTGGCAAAATGTAAGCAGGTAAGCAATTCAATTATTAATAATTTTTAGTCTTTTTCAATGTATATTTTTAAAAAAAAACGTCATGGATGGTGTGCTAAAAGGAAGGAAGTGGGTGGGTAGGTACTGAAATATACATATGTTGTGCATCATGGTTTATAAATGTTCACCACGTTACTGCCGGTGCTTGGGGTAGCGCACCGCGGATTTTTCGTAGCATAACTCGGCGAACTAAAACATTCCGTGAACTGCACACCGTCGTACGGTGTCCGGAGAGTGCACCGGGTATAATTACAATACGATGCTTAGCGGTCGAAAACTTTTTGTTACAGCCTCGTTTTCGCGCCGCCTCGGCCATCGTAATGTCCTTCGCAGTAGCGCCGACGCGGACTTTTAATTAAATGCAATACCGTTTCGATAAACACCGACGATTGTGCGACACGTACGTGGGTGCAAAATGTACCCTTATGCGAACAACGACTTGTACCCGTCACAATGATGATAATGTGTCGGCCGTGTCGAAATCACCAGACTTTGCTTGCTGTCAGCTCTGCGCTGCGCGTCGAAATAACGTCTAGTGCAGCGTTTCCCAAACTTTTTTCTGCCGGATCCTTAGAGATAATAAAAATGATCGTGGACCTATTAGTACAAATACAAATGAAAAAACAATAATAAATAATAATACTTTGTACATTTTAAATTTTCGTTCGTAGACCCCCTCCAGTATACGTGCGGACCCTTAAGGGTCCCCGGATCACAGTTTGGGAAACGCTGGTCTATTGCACCGTATTGCATTTGAAAAGAAAACTGTGACATTTCGCGATGCACGCATTTCAACAAACGACCCTGCCACAAGCACACCCCTCACGACGAGGGGATGTTTTGTTATTAGATTATGTTATTACACCGATGGACGGACGATAATGGATAAACGGCCATTACACATAATGCGGTTATCACATATCAATGAACCACTACACCGTGGAGTGGTGTATTATTATTGTTCGTATAATATTATACGGTGAGCCGCGGGATCCGGTAGGTTTTCGGAAAAAGTAAAATAAAAATAAAAACACCGCTGGCCAAAGTCATTAATATTGACAATTATTTATTATGCAACAATCCGTTGAGCCATAATGTTTTTGAATCGCATAATATTTGTTTTAATTTACTCGATAACACTCATATTGGATCGTTACACATTTAGCTATACTACAACGGCAAAATGAAAATCCCTGACAGACAATAAGTGAATTAAATGAACTTATAAGTGTTTGAGCTGCAATATTATACTGTTTGTGAGATACATTCTTGTTGCGAAAACGAAACTTTCCTTGCACTCGGGAATTCGTATATTGTCTCGAGTACACAGTACAACGAACGAAGCACATCATTTAATTTTCCGATTTCTTACAACCCATCAACATTGTTATTATCAGAAGTATACTTAACTACGTTGTAGTCAATTATAAAAGGTTTTAGTATTACAGAAATTGCTAAAATATTGTTTCAACGATTCGAATGTAACCAATTCCTATATTTTTAAAACCATAACGATTGTGGTTTTATCCTCATTATTTACACGGTCAACCGATCATTTCAGTCCAAAGTACATAATAGTGATTTATCAAAGATTTAATACCGACGACACACTTTAAGATAGTCCCCCATTTACTTTACCCCTTTTCATATTATCTTCTTCGTCCCTAATATACCAACCCACATCTTAATACCTTAACTCTTGTCCCTCGGTCTTGTCATCAAAGAAAATGTATTCGTTATAGATTCTTTATCGTCATTATGATTCTCATCTCGTACAATATTTGGTATAAGCAGTCGGTTGATTTTCACGGCTAACGTCACATTATTATTATAATATACATTGATCCATAGTGTATACGAAAAGCATAATAATGTTAAAATGCATTTTCTATTTTAATTAAGTACACATAATGTACACCAAATAAACAAAAAAAAACTAAATATTAGTCAAAAGTAAATTTAAACAACTTCACGTTTAGTATTATTATTACTACCATAGTGAATTGTGATTTCGTTAACAATCATATAAAGGATTTACTATACCGTGAACAAAACAATTTATCGGAAACACTTAATCATAAAATCCGCTCAGATTCTGAGATAAATGAAGATGATAAAAGAAATAAACCACTGTACTAAAAATATCGCAAAAGAACGTGTTACTATATATATAATAAAATATTCTTAAGCACACGCATGTAAATATACCTGTCATAAGAAAACAATGCATTTACTGATTCCAAACATACGCTACTATATATTATGAATTGCGTTTTAATCAATATATAATTGGATATAATTCTACGTCTCGTACAACCTTCTATACGTATAATTAAAAGAGTACAACGAGTTCCGGAGGAAAAATCAATCGCTATTTATTATTAACATTATTATTTAATTTACACTCGTTTCCGGTAAACCGATTTAACCGCAATGGAAAAAAAAATTATGAGGTAGAAAGAGAGAGGAAAAGAGAGGGATTTTCCGCTGGTTAAACACGTAAGAGTTGAATATTTTTCCGTTCAACGCGCGCGTAATGCGTGTACGCGTATATACGTATGTATAATATAATATATTTATATATAAAGCATAATTTGCTATTTCCATACGTGTGAGATATTTCGCTCATCAAGTATTGAAATATAAAATCTCACCACAGGTGTATAATTATTAATTATAATAATACGGTGTTAATAACAATATAATATTTATCCGGACAATCACGACAAAACACGTATTATCTGGACACAATACGAGCAGCTTATAATACAATTCGTCGGGATCACCCTTTAAAGTGCGTACACGAAAGGAAGAAAAACGTTGTAATAATGGCAAATATTCAAAACCGATTATTACCTATCGGAAGTCCTTTTCGACGAAACGAATTACATAAAAGCAATAATATAACATATTATTTTCTCCGTCTACCCAATATTGTTTCGTGCCGTCAGGACCACGGCTGCGTGTTGTAATTTTTTTTTTAACATTTATTCGAAACATCACGGGTGCAAAAACGAAAAACTAGTATTTCTCAAAGCGTGTACCAAAATGCTGCTTGTATATACATGTGTACGTCTGTACTTTGTGACGTGAACGTAACTATAGATAGAAAGCCGAGAAGTTTTGAGTACCTCCAATATCTTCTACAGCTCCTCCGAAACTATAAGTATGCACGTTTGTGGACAACTTTTGCTTTGATATTGCATAATATTATACACAAAATCATTGTCAAAAATATTATGATTGTTATTAGTATTATTAGACTGTTGTGTACCGTAAACACGAAACGCATCCGGCAGTACGAGGGAAAACCGTCGTCTTTTGAAATCTTATTTCTTACATAACTTGTATGTAAACATCTACCTGGATAATAAGAAGTCTATTAATAAAACCGTGTCCTCGATAGTATTTCCCGAAGATAATATGCAATAAACGTTATGTCTGAACATTAAATATATACGAGGCTTAAATTAAAAACGGTATGAGACCTATACGTAGCCCTAGGAAGCGATGACGGATTGCTGATTGCATTAGATTTAATTAAAAAAGTTGTAGGCCCGATATGCGATAACTATAACTTCTGGACGTTTGATTAATATTTGTTTATTCGATTCGCTGTCAACGAACTTGCGTCGGAAAAGCAAAGTTTAAATGAAAAATATAAATACATTACACGTTTATCGTGAACGACAGCTAGAGTCCGGTTGGCGATCGGCGCGAGGGTTTCGCCCGTGAAAACGCTCCGGTGTCCGGTGTACCCGAGACGCACCGCGAAACCACGGGCGCGATATTGAAACCGCGTGTACGTCTGGACGGTGTCTCCAAACCCGGTCCCGGGAAACGGCCGACCGATCGGTCGCGCGCACGGGCCCAATGGCGACAACCGTTTTTTTTATTTCCCGTCGTCAATCAGGACCCGTTATCAGTCCCCGTGCCGCGTCCGGGAACCAGAAGCCCCGGGGGCTACCGCCGTGGCCCGTCCTACCCTGCCGCGCACGCGTTTGTGTATTTTTAACGTACGCAATACGTGTATAATATTATCGTTATTATAATAACGATTATTATTAAGACTATCCGCCGCCGCCGCCGCCGCCGCCGCCGTCGACGCCGACGCCGCCGCCGTGTATATGTGGACGGTCGCGGCAACGGATAGCAGCGGGAGCAACCGTAGGAGCCGGACGAGACAAGGCGAGACCGGCTGCGGTGGTAAACGCGCTCGCACCACCACACGCGGTGTCTCGTCGTCTTCGCGCGCCCGCCACTCAGTATCGTCAGTCGCTCGGTCACGGTCGGTTATTCGCGCGCGCTCTCCGCGTCTTGTCCGCCGTCATCGCCGCCGCACACGCACACTGCTTGCCCACACGCGCTCGCGACGCCACCGCGATTCCAGTACGCACGTCGCGTCCTCCGCTAATCCGTTTTCACCCCGTCTTTCTTACTTATTTTTCTCCGCCGGTTCCGTTCCTGTTCTCGCTCCTCCCGACACACGCACCACCACCGCCACCCGTCTACATGTCGACGACTGACCGCTGCCACTGCCGTTGACCGCGATCACCACCGCCGCACGATGCACCGCCGTACCGGTCGGCCGAGTCCGGTCCGCTTGTGGCCGGAGATCGGGTTGCTGCTGCTGCTGTTCTCGTACCTGAAAGGTATGTAAAACACATTGAACTTACGTAGGAAATACAGCGGGTCTTGGACGCGGATACGTGAATAAATATATGATCTGTACGCAAGGCCGGATTAAGGGGCGTCTAGCCGGGGCGGTAGCCCCGGAGCCCTCTCGAGTGCCCAAATTAAAGGGGCCCAAACAATTTTAAGCCGATACACATTTTTTATCGTACTAAAATTACTAGTTTTTATATACCTATTAATTTTATAATTTTATAATGCAATTGACAATTTGTGTAATAGTTAAAAAAATTTATCGGCAGCGAGTGGCTTTGTAAAACATGTTTTGTCAGAAGGGCTCATATAAAATTTCAGCCCCGGGGCCCAATAGGTGCTTAATCCGGCCTTGTCTGTACGCCGCGAACACGCGACGACGAAACGGATTTCCTGTCGGAACCGTCATTATTGTGTATCACGTTCGGTTTTGTCATTAAAATCGCGGTTTTAAATATATTCCGTGAACGTCTAGAAACTTTGGACGGGTATACGTGATCGTTATAGCCGGAATAAACACTGTGACAACTCGTTCCGATTGTAATGACAAAACATCAATAATGTTTAAAATATTTGAAAAAAAGTTACAAAAGAAATAATTGTTTTTTTTTTTTTTTTTGTTTTACGTTTATGTTTATCATTCGAAATTTCTAACGCGGAATGAACGCAAAAAAATTCACAAAATACTTTTAATGATATTTTCCAATGAACTTTCTTATTTCAATTATTCCCTATTTTAGTTATTTTTTATTCATTTGTATATGATTTATTATTAACGATTGTAAAATATGTTATTCCTGATTATATTATTAATTAAGTAATACAGGTTGGGTCGAGTCCGAGAAGATTATTTTTTGGTCTGGATTTCGTATCCAAAAGTTTTACATTAAGTTAATCTTAATAATAACAATATAATAACTTTAAGTTTCATTATTTTAATATTTCTATTCGTTCTGTGATTTCTCAACACCCCATTCAATAATTTTAAGAAGTATACTTAGATATTTCATGAATAGAAACCCGTTTCCATTTTCCCTGAAAATAAATAATAAAAGTAGGTATAAGAAGTTGTTTAAGTTCAAGTAGAAAAAGTTTTCAACTCTAAAATGACTTCACTAAACACGAAAGCATAATTATTATGATTTGTTATTAATTAAATAATTTTCTGTACAAATATTGAATTGTTGTACGTAATACTGGTTTCATTATTTTGTATTTGATATTTTTGACAAAGTATTATTTTCATCAATAAATTATGTAAATTTAATCTCATAACGATCATGATATTTTTTGGTATTTGTTTATCAGCTGAAATACTAAAAAATAATTTATCCACCGCAAACAGCTAATTAAAACAGTTCAGGCATAGTTGTTTTATTTTATTCCAAAACATTCGAATGTAAAAATTAAAGAAAATCATTACGTTTACTATCCGTATAAACTTGTTTTCAATAAACATTTCCAACAGTAGAACATTTAATTTGCTTCTTCTTACGTATATTATTGCGGCACGGGAAGTTGAGATCGCTGGTGTTTTGTTAGCTTAATAATAACGTGTTGGTAACCAACACTCATTCTGAATTTAGAGTTTAGACGTGCACACCGGTAGGATCATGTTTGCTGTTCACAGTAAAAAACGGAATAGGAGGAGGAGGAGAATGGGTTACCAACAAAATCAGATCACTCAGGCTTCTACTACTTCTACAACTGCAACCGGTTTTGATAGTAATAATTATAACAGACATCGTAATTTATTCAGATTAGTCTTTTTTCGAACGACGTTTGTACGAAGACGAGAAGAAAAAAAAATTAGCTTTCACGAGATCATTTGTACGCAGCGCGATGGCAAACGAACAAACTGCACAGCGCAGTGGAAAAATATATAATGTATAAATGAATTATTTATACGTATTAGTAATTACAATTTCAAATAAAACATGGGAAAACATCGATATTGGCAAATGAAATAATTATATTATAGTTCTATAGTATTATAACGATTGAAGTCAACGCTGTTATGCTGATGTCTACTAACAGGATACATTCGGTTTGCATGTATTCTCGGTTTAATAAAGGCGTTTTTAGAGAATCTTGTCAAAATACTGTATATTTTAACGATACAATTATAATATGAGCTGACACTACTGTATTTTGGAGTTTTTAATAAAATTCGATTTATGTACCTACCGTACCGTAACGGTGTTAATTTGGAATAAAATCAAACAAAAGTCGTTCGATAAATTATTATGTACTAATCTTGATTACACATACAACACGTAATACGCAACACCGAATTATTCCCATGGTTATTTACAACATGTCTTTTATACCTCGTTAATTTAAAATAATTTTGCATATTTTGAAGTTTATTGGTACACACGAACTTGTACATTATACACATTGAGGGTGTATTCGATTAAAATATATATACATGTATAATAATTAAGCATTTAGTTTTAAACATACATAAATATATTTTGATATTGTCTTTTATAATTTATTATTAGTAATCATAAATATGTTGAACTATAAAGTATAATGTATTTTATACGTTTTCCATATACACTAAACTTAACTATTTTCAGAATTTTAAATAATCGTTTAATATAGGTTTAAAATGCATTCGTTTAGGCATAAAATATAACTAGGAGCATTCAGAATTGTACAAGATTTATTATTTTTTTTTTTTTTTTAGTATAAATTCAACTGTATTACAAATGTAATAATAATTTAATTCGATAAAGCAAGGTTAATCTGTAAAGCTTTGAATACTTAAATGAAATAAAGTTACTACTAAAATAATATTTTTACTAATTTAAAAAAAATGTATTTAAAGTCTTTGATGTTTAAACCATGAGGTATATTATTCTTTAAGCGTTATTTTATCTTGATTTTAGTTCTTAATAATAGAAGGAAAAACCAAGAATATTTTCAAAATATAATTTATTTTCTATTAATTTCGTGTTAATATGAAATCTATCCAAGAATAAAAATCAATTTAATGTTTATCATTTTTTTAGATAACCTCGCAGTTAAAAAAAATGTAGAATTGAATGAAATTCATATTAAAATAATTAATAAAATAATACCTATAGATAGGTATTGATATGCTCAGAGCAATAATGGTCTTTGAATATGGAAGTTATAATTTTAAATCTATTATTTTGTTGAAGTTAAAACACAACTAATACGGAATTTTTAGTCATTTTTCTGATAGTAAATTATTATTTTACAACTGTAATGTATTCGGGTAAATACAGTTTAATCATGGTCGCTGTTAACAGTCCAAAAATGTATAATTTTATAAAGTAGTATAAAAATAATAATAATTGAGAAGCTCGACAAAAGACATTTTTCTTAAAAGTATAAATTATGAAGTTGGGTATTTAATTTAAAGAATAGTTTTACAATTATTTTCTAAATTTCTTTTTTCTTTGTATAACAAACAGTGTTTGATATGTTCTTTTGAAATCTTAAATTAATGTTAATTATATTTGGTTATTAATTAATTAAAAGTATATAATCTAAATAATCTTATCGAAATTCAAAATAATTTATTTGTATTACAAACTAAAGTAGATTACCTAATGATTAGATGCAAAACTAATTATTGCAATTTTCCGTTAGATGCTCGAGATATATTATACTCAATACACACAGATATTGTTTTTAATTAATATAAGTTATACTTATCAACAAATAAAAACTCTTAACTTGTTGGTTCAGTATTCGTAGTCTTCGATAAGTAAGAATATATAAAAGTTAACGATAAACATTTTTATATTGTTTATTTATTTTTAACGGAACTTTTATGATAAAGTATTTAGTACATGGTATTTAATAATTATATGTATTTTGTAATTTTGACGCTGTACATAATACAGTTATTGCTCATAATCGAAACGTAGGTAATTGAATGTTAAACAAAACAGTTTAATTATATCTATCAGCAACCCTTTCAAAATCACTCGTGACCCGAAATGTGGTCGCAACCATTATAGTTTGAGAAATACAGTTTGAAACGTCGGAATCTGTTCTTGTCATCCTGTCTATTATCTGATTCATTATGGACGAATGGAACTATTATAATTATAATTTTTCTGTAACAATATTATTTTATAATTTATAATGAAAAATTTCCTAATTCAGAAAATATTTATGTAAAAACTTAAGCTACAATATAAAATAAAACATAAAATTGTTGATAGTTAAACTTACCAAAAAAAAAAAAAAAAAATGTTCTCAAAATGCTTTTTATATTTACTATTCATAATAGTAATTTAATAGTATAATTAATTATATCAGACAATATCTATAAGTATATTTTGAGCATTGTATTGGTTATAAATTAAAAATTTAACTTAATAGCTTTTATCGTGTTTCCGTTAAAATTAGATTTTTTTTTTACTTATTATAAGTATGATAATCTTTAACTATAAAATATTGGTTTATTTTTTAATAGAATCACAAAAAGAAATGGTCCCATATTTTTTTTAATAGAATACTAATTTTAAATACTTCTAATTTTTTCAAGTATATATTTCAATAATTTTGGGTTTTATGTATAAATTTATAAATTATAAAATAATTTAATTGAATCGGACATAATAAAATTGGCGAAACGCCATTTAATAATTGGAAACATTTTTATAGGTACAGTTTAATATATAATATGGTTAATATATTAAATTGAATATTTTTTAAAACACATTAAAATTAAAATAGTATTATTTCCATTTTGGTTTAATGAAATTATAATTTAAAATTATACGGCTCTTGTCTCGATTAATTCATGTCTAGTGAAATAAAATATTGTAATTTAAAATAAGATTAATTGGTACTTAGTACAATAATTTAATAACATGTTGTCAATAAAATATTTCTTCTATTCTCATAATCAACTTCCCTATTTATTCATTACTGAGACAATTTTTTTTTTTTTTCCATTTTCAAGAATCTTTATATCTTAAACGGAAAAGTGTTAAAA